ATGAGAAATCCCATGGCAGGTAACAAAGGACCTATAGAAAACTTCAGCCCTTCTGGAGCAGCAGCCTGGGAATATCAAAGGTGTTTAGATACTTCTAATGGGATACTCAATTGAATCTTCAGTGTCTGTAAAGAAGAGCAAGTGCTACTAGTTTCCTCTAGTTGTAAATTGCAGAGACTACCTTATTTCTTAATTGATGTGATCTGTGTATGATGACAGGCTGTTTTGCTCCCTCCTAATTGTTTTAGCATTTGATTGCAATACATATTCTCTTCTCTCAAAAGCAGATCTTAGATTGCTCTAAACAAGTTAATTATATTCCACAACACCCTTGTGCATTAGGGAAGTATTAATATTCTTGTTTTGCAGTCAAGGAAAAAGGAACGAAAAGAAAGAGTAAGTAGCTTACTAAAGGTTAAACAGTAAGTCAGTAACAAAATTTGAAGTGGAACTCCAGACTCTCAACAGCAGTTTGAATTCCCTAGAGACCACTTATTCCAGCACTACATAAAAAATTATAAGGACAGTAAAAAATGCATGGTTTTAGAACTCCAAAGCGCAGAAAGCTATCCTATAAAAACAATGTATTTGTGAAAGGATGCAGGAACCAGTATCAAAACTTTAGAGTTCCAAAACATCCATGTAGAGATAAACGCTGACCTGGAAATTCAAAAGGCTTTGACAATCCATATCACTGCAATGACAGCAAAAAACTGTAGGTACAAAGGATGGAACAAAACTGAACTCCACTTGCTGCCTCCTAAGAGCATCAGTAAGATACTTCCCTTGGAAAAGACATCTCATCATCACCCTGCAAGATAGTCACACTCGGGAATAATTTTTGAGCTTATTGGAAACAGTCTAATCTACCTTTCTTTTCTACAAAAAAACATCAATTTTAAGCAGATAATTTTTAGGAAAAATGTTGATACCGCTGTAACATCCAGATGTCTCAGACAGAATGAGGAACATATTGTGGTTTAGGTACTGTATAAAAATATATGTGCAAAGATGTAATAAGCCGACTGAAGCATGGACAACAGGTGGGTGTAACAAACAGCCAGAGGAACGTAAGGAAGAGGAGAGATATGAACAACAATTATGAGAATTAATGTCTTCATATGCTATATCCAATTTTATATTCTGAAAACTGATGAGAAGTTGTATGAGGAACGAAGCTAAGACTCTGGTCTTTCACTAATATCAGTTATTGCTTTACCTGAACAGCATCAAATGTGAGAAGCAAAAATCAGAAGTAGGCAGATCAAATGTTTTCTGATTGTGTATATACAGGCTGATTCCACCAGTAACACAAATAACAAGCTTGTTTTTTATAATGTAGGGCCAAGTAGTGTGATATCCTGTACTCTTACTCAATGTGTCCAGTGCTCCCTAAAACATTCTGGAGGTGCCTTCTTGGTTTTCTTACTCATTTCTTATGCTATTCGTTCACTGTATACAAATGGGGTGGCTTTAAGTCAATATATATGGGATTCTAGGGTATATTTCACATTGGATTGCACGGGACAAGTCCCAGTTACTTTGGGAATTGAGTTTGATCTGTTTGTTAATGGGTTTTTATAGTTTCATTGCCTGGAATAATAGCAGACTTCACTGTAGAAATCTGGACTCTATACAATTCCAGATTTATTAAATATTTGGTTTATCTAGAAAACACACATCATTTACACAAAACACACGGGTATACTTTATATCCAAGACACATGAAGATAACACATAACATGATAAAATCAGTAAAATCAGATAAAGTTCAGTTTCCAAGCCCTGTTTGTCCCACTTTAATGGCTGAGAAATCAATCTCCCATCAGCTGTCTGTCAGACACCATCCTTCAGGACAATTCTATTCTTTTGCACCTCTTCTCTCCACAAAGTCTTTCTATGGTATATTGATCTTTGCTAATCTGAACTGAGAACACCAGTTTTACACCAGATGAAAATTACCAGCGGTCTCCAATCTATTTATCTTTGTAAATATTTATAGTTTGGTCAGCATTATGGAGTTGAGCACTAATTCATTTCAATGACTAACATTCTGACCTAGGTTCAAACCAGCAGCACCATCAATTCCAAGAATCATAGAATCACAGAATTAACTGGGTTGGAAGAGACCTCTGAGATCATCAAGTCCAACCCTTGATCCAACCCCACTGTGATTACTAGATCATGGCACTCAGTGCCACATCCAGCCTCACCTTAAAACCTCCAGGGACAGTGAATCCACCACCTCCCTGGGCAGCCCATTCCAAAGCCTGATCACTCTCTCTGTAAAGAACTTCTTCCGAATATCCAACCTAAACCTCCCCTGGCAGAGCTTAAGCCTGTGCCCTCTTGTCCTATCGCTAATTGCCTAGGAGAAGAGAACAGCCCCCACCTGGATACAACCTCCTCTCAGGTAGTTGTGGAGAGCGATGAGGTCACCCCTGAGCCTCCTCTTCTCCAGGTTAAACAACACCAACTCCCTCAGCCTTTCCTCATAAGACTTGTGCTCAAGTCCCTTCACCAGCCTGGTTGCTCTTCTCTGGTCGTTATCTCCACAACAAGGGCCCTGGCCTTCAGAAATGTCTATAATTTCTAGAAAATATTGCCTGGAATAATCATATCTAAACAAACTTTGAGATACCATAGCTCTCAGTTATGTCCTTGGGCTGCTAGCTTGCTTGCCAGGAGTATGAGTTGATATCTTTCAAATATGGTTAGCACAAGTTAGCACAATTCCTAATAGACAAAACTATGGAAACTGTGTGTTCTCCATCTGATGACCAGAACAGGGCACAATCATACAATACAACCTGAAATGACCCTGGTATTGGAGTGTGAACACTAACTGGACATGAGCTGTGCTTTTAATACTCAGGACTCATTGCATTTTAGCATCACCAACTTTTTTCATGTTGATCTCTGTACCTGAGAAAAACTACATCAGTCCTTAACTCCAAAGATACTACAGAGGATGCAAAACATAACATCATTCTTCACATGTACATGCAGAGAACAGACTACATATGTAACTGTAAATTAAATTAATTTTAGAGCTTTTAGCTTTTTTTTGCGTAGATCACTACTAAAATTTATATCTACATAAATATATTTTTGTTTCAAAAATAATAGAACACTGATCTACCTTGTATTCTACACACACTAATTTTTCAGTGGGACTATGTGAGTACAGTGTCTCTGCACTGTTTCTCCATTGATTAAAGGATTGGGCCTTAGTTTTTCCTTGCCTCTTTGCCTTTTTTTTCCTTTGACCCAAATTTTGTCTATTTCCTGAGTCTCATGGAGCATTAAAAAATAACATTTCTTGGCTATACATTAGCATCCATTCTGCCTGCCTAACAAAGGCAATACACTGAGGGGAAATAACTAGTAGGATTCTGCAGGTTTTAGCAGGCCTTCAGCTTGGCAGAGAGGAAACTGCTGGGTTTGTGATCTATTAACTGCTACAGTATTCTATAGTTCTGTCACATCAGTAAATTGTGGCCAACCACCTGTTGGATCCATATGCTTTAAAGTTGATTGCCAAGCAAGGGAGCTGCACATCGAATGTCATAAGTTCATCTTTCTCTATGCCTTGTCAGAGGAAAGAAGAAAAGAGCTTTTCCCATTAAAAGGCATTTTGCAATACGTAAAATGAATTAAAATGAAGCTGCAGCAAACACGCATTCAGAAAAGCAACTGGGAAGAGCAAGTTTTCACAGAATTTTGACCCTAGGATAAGGAAAACACTGTTATTACAATAATCAAATCTCTGTTAGCACTACTATCCATGTGTTCGTTGGGAAGCTGAGGGCGGAAAAGGCTGATGTGTCAATTTCAGCCTTCACCTAATTAAAGATGTAGTAAGGCTTAAACTAAAGCTTAATTGTCTATACTATTTAAACAGCACATCAGATCTGCTCAGAGAATTGTTCTGCCGTATCCCTTATACATCAGGAGAAACTGTTTCTAATGTTTCATTCTGTGAATGTGAGGGCATGGAGGATGACAAGCAAATTGACCACTAAAACCAAACCTGTGGAATAAAGACTAATAATCAAAGCCTGTGTTATCACTTCATACTTCCTGCAAGCACTGCTGTACAGTGACTGGCTGCCAGCAGTTCTGCTGCAAACCTGAGCATAGGGTTTCAAGTAGTTCTGCTCCTCTAATGATGCACAGAAATATGACACACCAGTATACTAATTACCAGTAGGGTTTTTTCGGGATGCAGATGAACCTCCTCCCCGTGCCAGGAAAAGGAGAGCATTTGATAATGATTTTCAAACACCACTTGGATCATTTTATTGAAAACCACTGCACTGGCGTAAATCTCCTTCCACCATCACAAAAGCACACTCCCCAAGTCTGACTCCAAGCCTACCTATATAGTTAATCAAACTATTCACTTGGGCTGGTCAGTTGCTAAAAGCACAGAGTAAAGAGTGTAAAGGTCCCTTTGGGCTCTATTATTTAATGTGTCTTTTTATAACGTCCACACTAAGGGTTATATTGCAGCAGCATTTTGCTCCTGCCAACAGGCATGTGCCATCGAGGAGCCCTGAGCAAGCAGTCACATCTGTGTCCACTCCTGTACCACCCATTTAGCAGAGACAATGATCACTAGAAACAACAAAGGAGCCAGTGATAAAACAAACAATGCTGTGAGCCAGAGATCACTGCCATCCCAGGCAAGTTTGCCATGAAAATACTCAAGAAAAAGGGAGGAGAGGGGAGGGAAGAGATATATCAAATATAGAACTGTAAAACTTACACCTTGAAGAGGTTTTACCCACGCAGCCACCCAACCCCACATCTGAGTAGCATTTTGTAATGCACTGCTAGGATTGAGCAAGAAAGACTGAACAGCGCACATGGGAAGCAGCCAAGCATCCAACGCCTCCTCCCATTTGGAGTCACATATTCTCCTACGAGTCAACAGACACAAGAAATAATAATAATTGTTATTACTATAGTAATAATAGTAATAGAGAATCACCAACCTTGAGGATCCCAGTTCACCTGTTTTCTTGGAGTCTCGATTGGAAATTTCATTGCTTCCTTTTTGCAAAGGGAGTAAAAAGAATTAAATAAATTCCCAACCTTCCTGTCTCGATGCTGCAGTCAAACAAATTAATTTCAAATTATAGGGAGCCTGCGCTGTTTGACTAAGGGGAACTGGTGGTTGCCAAGGAAAGAAATACACAAATAAATCGAAGAAGGTGGGGAGGGGCGGGCAGGGGAGTGGAGTGGAGGGGTTGGTACCGACGAAGTAAGGAGGGGTGCAGACACCCCAGCAGAAAGAGGGGTAGAAGGGATGGACTAAGGACCGGAGAAAATCTGGGGGAGCAGGAACAGAGCAGACTGATATGGCCAGCGGGTCCAGGGTGCTGCTGGCTCCAGGAGAGGCTCCCGCAGCTGCCTCGCTCCGTCCACCTGCAGATGTCAGGATGGCGGGGTCGCCGCTGCAGCGTTGCCCCTCTGCTGCGCCCACCCGAGGGGGTACCCGGGCTGCCGAGCAAGCAGCCTTGCCAGCATCAGGGAGTCGGCCAGCCACCCACATCCCCAGGGACACCTCCTACACACGCACACACTCTAGCCTCAGACAGCCCCCGAAAATGCGCCCACCTCAGTTCAGCCCCGGGCACTAGGGGGGTAACAAAAGTCAGCCATGGGGCGTGAGCCGCAGCAGCATGGCTGGGGCGAGGCAGGGGCGAGGCTGGGGACCACCCCGGCTGAATGCAGCAGCAGCCTGGCTCGCCCAGGAGAGCCGGAGCAGGAAGGGGAGGGGGAGGAGGAGGAGGAGGAGGAGAGAGCCACCCTATAGCTTTGGAGGGAATTCACGGAGCCCCTCTCTGCACTGGCTTAAAAAGAGGGTGGGGAGAGGCTGTGAGTCCCTTTGTAAGAGGCGGTTGCGGGGTTCCTAGGGAGGGGGCAGACTCCGGCAAGTACTCACTGGGTATCCTTCCCGAGAGGGGTATGCAGGCTTGTTTGGCAGAGTTTGCAGCCGGAGACACGCTCGACTAAGCTACGAGCAGCAGTCACGGCGGCAGCAGCACATGGCAGGAGTACGGCAGCATTCAGAGCATCTGCAGCACAGGGGGAGGGGAAGGGCAGGGGTCTTCCGAGCCCCCGCAGGCTCTGGGGACCAGCACCGGGTACCCCGAAGGCCACGGGACCCCTGCTCCCCATTCTGTCCCCAGTTTGCAGGGTGGGCAGGGTCGGACGCTTCGCGTCAAGGCAAAGCCTGGTACAGCAGGGCTGTAAGATGTGGCCAAGCTGATGGAAGGGGACAGAAGACTGAAGGCCTCTTGGAGCCCCCCTAAGATCTCAGGAGGCTTCAGGGAAATGGAGGACACTTGTGCAATTACCAAGCACTTGCTGCTTGCAAGTCTGCATTCTTCCCTTCCTCTCCGTCCTTCTCCAGGCTTTCCCTCAAACCCGAACCAGGCTGGTATCACCAGAAAGGTCTCCAGTTCCAGTTACAATACATGCCCCAGCTCCCCTCCCTTACCCAGGAAAACAAAACCCCAGCCCCTCTGGGGGCCTGAAGGAAAACTGTGAGAGGTTAACCCTGTCCTGCCTATTCCCTTCGACAGTGGAAATCATCTTCTTGTGTGAAGGGGAGCATTCAAGGGGGATGGTTTAGTGGAGAGATCCACAAATTTGCATGGGTCATTGTCAGGCACACGTACCAGAAATGGTCCAGAGGTCCATAGATGTTCTGAATTTTCAGGAAACATGGTTGTGATCTAAACCTGGTGCCTGAGATAATTTGTTCCCTACTTTTTGCCCTGTACTTCTTTTTGCTCAACTGACCTTTTTCTGTCTTGCTTTCCTATCTGTTGCTCAGATGTTAGCTAACCTTGTAAGACCAAAGAGAGAAATCTGCCCTGGTGAGGGAAAAAATAAAAAAAAAAAAAACGAAACCAAAGTAGTCTGTATTGTGTGGCTCTCCTCAGGAAACTCCGTGGAGGTTGGCAGACTCTTTTCACATTCACATTCTGAAGCTAAATCTGTGCTTGTTCCCAGTCTTTGTTCAATCCTGAGCAGGAAGAGGCAATCAATATTTGTGAATTCACACTTCCATTTGGTGGTTATGTACAAGGTCCTGTAAAGCAGTATGTAGTTTGAAGAAACTACATGGAAGTAATGCAGCAAGTTTTCCTGGGGGGAGGTGCTGGGTGTCTCTTCTTTCCCTAATCCAAACACCCTGTGGCTCTTGTTTTGTGCTGTACGGGAAGAGGCGGGAGAGGCTGCTCTAAGGGAGGACATGGTGAGAATGATAATGAGCCTGCTCAGTCAGACCTGAATTTGAGATAATTGCAATGATGACATCAGGAGCACAAGGTATTTCCTTTTCAAGCAAACCACGATGCATTCTAAACAGGCTTTGGGATTTCTGTTGACATTACTTCTGCAAACTGAGTGGAAACAAAACTGAGGGTAGGCTTTGCTAACTGTGCTATGTAATCGCTTGAATCATGGTTACAGTAACCTAAAAGACTTCAAAGAAGCCTTCTGAATCCCCAAGAAGATCACTTATCAAATATGTATCAATAAAAAGCTAATCATGTATTTACACATACACATATATAATATATATCCATATAAATAATTTTTCCTTGGCATTAAAATGTTTCCAGTTTATTGGCATCTACCTTGTACATTACTGGAAAAAACTACAATATAGAAATATACTACTCAATTGTGTTACCCTAACACTACCTTGTCTTTGTGCCATAACTATCATCAGTTAACTGATGACATGTGTATTGTGCCACAGACACCTGTCTACTTAGAACTCACCTAAGATAATCAAACTGAAACAGTCCGCTGAAAGGCCAAAGGCATTAAATTCCTGCTAAGATATGCAGGAAGTCTAGAGTCTAGAGATGAATTCTTCAGGTAGTTCATTACCAGAAAATCGTCCTGATTTTTACAGTCTAAAGAAGAGGAATTTTCATGTGGACACGTGAATCCTTTATTATTAAAATGACATAATAGAGACATCTCATATTTGTTCGACTTACTGTAACACTAAATAGATAATAATGACACAATGCCATATTCGTTTCTTTTATTCTCTTAATGTTCATATATTCACAAAAAGTGTCTGTAAGCTTTATATAAATGTTTGTCCTCGCTATATGATTTAAAAACCTTGTGGCAAATCAGTTGTGATTGATCTGTCAGGTACATAAATGCATGGCATCATGTAATTGTTTTGCAATTTTTTTTTAGTATGTTATGAGCATGGAAAACTTGCTCAATTATTTCAATGCCTCAGACCTGCCGTTTTATCCAGTAGGCCAATTTATTCCCAAAGTAACTCATTTAAAATCAATGGGGTTACTCCAGAGATAGATTTGGCACAATGAGTGCATCTTTCACTGACAGCACAGCTGTTGCATAGAAACATAACTATTATCTTATGCAAATAAAAGGCCTTTCACCCCTCAGTGATGTCAAATTCTTATGATAGGGCGAACTGGCGCCTTGAAGCTATAGTGTTTCAAGCTGTTACTCTGTCAACTTTTATAAGCTAAGTGGATTCAGTAATGTTTAATATTTAAATGAAAGCTCACCAAGAAAAAAACCCTAAATGTAGCATGATCAATCTGTTTTAGTATCTGCATAAGAATTTTCAGGACTTGACTTTATATCAGTAGTTTATCACACTGGTCTTCCTAAATTCTTCCTTCTCATTTAGGCTTATTGTTCAGACTTAAATGTCCTCAGAGTTGGTGTTAGTTGAGAATCAGAATAGGGGCTGTGACAATCACAACACAACAGAAAATATGTTTTCTATTACAAGCAATCTCATTGAAAGAAAAATAAAGTGCTAAGTGCTGTTTTGGAGTTCATTAGTAATATGGCATGAATGATTTAGAAGCTATTCTAACTCAAAGAAAGCCATAGAAAAACAGATGAATAAACAGTTCTTAGACCTACCTAAATCCAGTGAGCAGGAGTGGAAACATGCCTTGATCCTTCATAGTAGGTAGAAATCATCTGTAAGTTGTATGTTGCACTTCTTGGTTACACAAAAGAAATGAAACATGGTTAAATGGAAGTCCAGACAGTCTTCATGTCATTACTTTACAATATGCTCATTTTTGTATATAACTAGTTAGTTTATGGTTAACTACACAGTTGTTTGAAATCTGGTATTTCTAATTGTGAAGATCATTCTGTTTATTGCCACAGGAGTACTGTTATTTACAGACACCAAGAGAGCCAGACAATAACCCAAATGAAGTGCATCCTGTTCTTTATATTACATTGACCCATTCTGCAGTAGTATTAATTTGGGCACAATACAGTGCAGGATCCTTTTATAACTTTATTCTCTAGGAAGCTTTCTGTCAAGGAGAAAATTTAAAGCTTTCTCTCCAGGATAACCTGAAGACCTTTTATTCAAACAGTTTTCAGAAGGTTTAGTGTCATTAGGAATCAGGAAGTTAACTAAGAATCAGGACTGTGCAAGGAAGAGCAACCTACTATTTTTATTGTCTTCTATTGCATTCAGTTTCTTCAAACTTTTTAAGACATAGCATGTAGTGATGTGGTTTTATTATTTTATGGATTAATCCACAGAACAGAAAATTTGTTGATTGCAGAAATGGTTTTGGTGAAAGCAGTGAGTCTCCGTAAGGAAACTACACCTCCGTATAACCTTTACCAGGATGGTACCACAGCCTGTCTACAGGTTCCTTTGGCCAGTGACACTAAACAGAATACACTGTGGATTCTGCCTCTCATATCCTAACATATCAATCATCTAAATGCCAGAACAGGAAAGGGGATGCCTGGTTCACAGTTTGTAATCATCTTCATCAACCTTTGTTCTTTACTGGTACCCATTCCTCATTAGCCAGACTCCAGCTTTCAGACACCTGTTATATCAGTCCCTTTGTATGGACAACAAGGACGGTAGTGGAGTAGTTACCTCACTTTTTTATTCTATCTGGAAAAGTACATGCACATTATTAGTGTATTAGTATATTGTAGAACTTTTTCCAGTAAGAGATATGCTATGCAAAAACATATTAACTAAAGCTGCATAGTACTGAGTCTGTCTGAAACCACTTACATTTCTTTCACATTAGTTTAATTTGACTTCAGCACAATTACTCCTGAATCATAGTCATGAGAGAATTACAGTGTGGCTTGCAGTTTTTCCATGATGTCTCTGAAGAATCCTCATAAGATCAAAGGCTGATATCTGACAAAAATAGCAAGTATGATTAATAAAAACAAGCCACTAAATGCATTTTATAGCAGTACTAGTCTCTTCC